TATCTCAGACTCATAAAATGTGCAACATTTTCCACACGAGACAAAATAAATCAGTTCAACTTACCATTGTTGTTAATAAATTTAATGCGTTTTTGTTGAGCATCATAAAGCATAGGAGGAATCACAGCTAGACTTCTCACATGTCTCTCATTGGCTTCTTGTTCACTCAGTCCATCTACTATCTCAGCTAGCTCTGCATCACTTCTGGCAATGTTACCCCAGTTACTTCTCCCACCAGCTCGACTAAGTACACAACAAATAGAACAAAGAACACTAATCAGGATACACTGTTACATAGCACTAGCCCAGGGTTGTAATTTACCAACATATACAGTGTGCATGTAGGCATTGAGAATTAGCTGCACCCACCAAAAGTAGTGTTACTTGTCCAGAAAATATGTTTATTGTCATCAAACAACACATCATCATGATTTGTGTTTTTCATGAATAGACCATTTTCTGTTCACTGCGATATCCTGAATTATGCGTGAAATTGAACGTAAAAACAGGACGACAAAAGTCATAGTGTCGTATTGGAGACAAACAACACATGAGTTTCAACAAATGCAAAAGTATTATGGGATATTTCATGCTTAATAATGTGCTGTACACATTTGAGGATGGGTTAATTTTGATGAAGTAGGGATATTCAAATGCAATAATCTCCTGTCAAAGATCGACCTTTCAATGTGAGCTTAGAAATAAAAGAAATTTGAGTCCAAAATCAAATTGTTTATTGTAACAGAAGTACAACATGCGTCTTTCATGCAACTCATGAGATCTCGCAGTTGAAGGAAATATCACCTAATGTATGGTCTAAAGATGGAGTCTTTTTTATTCACAAACAGAGTGTCCTTTTTTTATCATTTAAGAATTAAAACATAATGTGCAAAATTTATTTTTAACAGAAAACAACTTACAGATCAGCAAAATGTTTGATTGTGAAAGCAAGGATAGTGCAATTAATTCAATCTTTCCTGGGTATAATAAGCAGGGTTGCAAATTGAGGAATTTCTTAAACACTGAACTGAGTTTAGACGACGGAAACAAATTCTTCAGTGGACTTTGAGTTTTTTGCTAAAAGTAAACAAATTCAATTGATGCATACAAAAAACTTGGTTTGGTCTGATAATGCACACCTTTTTATGACAGCATGGGCAACTTGTCCAACCAATGTTATTTCAACATGAGGATCCTCTTACCTGGTAAATCTTTCTTGTTGCTCTCTTTGTTTACGAATCTCAGGAAACTGTTTCTCATAAAACTCACGAATCTTAGCATCTTTTGCTCTGTGAACGAGATGTGAGATCATTTACGTCTGTCAAATGCCACGACAATCAGAATACATGTAAAACTTTCAAAGAAGACTAAAATCTAGACTGTTTGACCCACAAGTTACTCACTAACACAAACTCCCTATTTCCCTGTTACATACCTGCCACACTAATGACAATGATACAAATATACAAGCCAAAGTAACAGTCTCCAAACATTGTGAAATTTCTGAATGGGGATTTGACAATGATGTAATCAACATGTAATAAATGTTTATTATGGCACACATAACAGGGGTTTTTCTAGAAAAAAACTGCAAGAGGGATCACTGCCATTCAGCAGTGCCACCAAGTGGTGTGGAGTTTTTGATAATTATAATTACAATGGAGTATTCTATGGCTTCCTTGGGGCCAAAATTACTATCAGACAAGTCACAGTTGTGATCCCTGGTCATTCAGAATTTTATGGTTGCAAGAGGATCTGCTCCCCAGGGTAAGGGGGTGCATAGCCATGGCATGAGGGTGCTGCGACCCTGCTCCCTTGTTTAACAAAATCCCTGCATAAACAGAAAAGGTATCAATCTGAACAAATTAAAATAGTTTAATAGTAAATTGGTGATGAATAACAGGGGAAAATCATTACCTTCTTTTAGCAGTGTTTTCAATTCTTTCCATTCTTTTTTCCCATGCTTCATATAACTGATCATATCGTTCACATAGAAAACGCTCCTACAAATATAAATATTGTAATGGCAATTTAAATTCAGAGAAGGTAAATGACACAATATTTCAAACCTACAGTAATTGCTTATTGGAATTACATTTCCAATAGAACAAATATAAAATAACATTTGTTGTATACTGAAATATTAAAATACAACTTATTTTGACTATAGATAAATCTTTTGTATTTTACAAAGCACATGTATTACTAAAGAGCAAATAAAAATGTTGCATTGTGTATTAGCTGAGAAAATATGGTATGAATTACAGGTTTTCCCAAGATAAAAATGTTCCATAGACCAACAGGCTCCTACTTGTGATACAAAGAATGTTGATGTAAACTCAGTAAAAAATAATGCTTTTACATTAATTGTAAAAAGATCCATGTATATTTGTTGATGAGACTACTCTGAAGTAACTCAAGAACACATTACAGCAAGTCTCAGAAGTAGTGGGGCAGCCAATTTGCAAACTCGCTAGCGAATTGGCTAACTGCTTGGGTTTTGACTAAACGGTTGGCTTTCGAATCACGCTGGCGCTGGTTTGTGATCGCGTCCACTCTTGGCGATTCTATATTGCATTAGGGGACATGAATGTTTTTACGCATCCTCAGGCTGGTACATGTCTGGATTCCCCTGAATGATTTGAGCTCGAAAATGGCCACAGTCAGCTGGCGTGATAATATTATAAATGCGATTAATCTACCAAAATTTATTACATGAAGTTAACCTTCTTGAACACTGCTTGAAACTAAATAGACAAGTTGAGAAACAGTTTCTTACAAATCGGGGAGAAAATAACAAACTTTCACACTCAAAACGATCCATTGGGGTAACATTAGGCCAACCGCTGAAAAAATCGACCTCATTCGTCGTTTTTGTGTGGACACGCAGAGCATAGAACACTTTCCCTAGTATATTCCAAAGCGAAATCACCATCTAACTGTAAGACCGTCACTGATTAGCTCCTAAAGTATGAGGATCGTCCCCTACTCTTACATAGATTCGTCTCAAGTGAGCGTGACCGCAAGATGGCGCCACCGAGATTCGAAAGCCAGTAAGTTTGTAAATTGGCTGCCTCAATATTTCTGAGACTTGCTGTAAGTGACATGTGGAGGATAATAGAATGGAAATGAAGTGTTAACAACATGGACTTTATACTGTATATAATACTGACTATTTGCACAACCAATAATTCACATGTCAAAAATATCTTACCCGTAATTTTCTGGCATGATTTCTTCTTTTAAAAAACAGAATAAGTTTTTTCCTCATTTCCAAGTTTCTATGGTAAAAAAAAAATAGTTATAAACATTATTGCGTTGTAGCATGGTTTATTTGGAACTCCTGTACTTGCTCTACTATAAGCAACATTGGTTTCAAATATCAATCTCAAAATGTATTACCAATAAAAAACTTTATTTTCACTTGTAATTAATTTTCGCTATTTTTCGCTGAAGACATGATTCAGTGAAAATAAAATCTAGCGAATATAAAGTATTTTACAATAAATTATTAAAGTGAATGGAATCTTATTCAGCTTGGCCAAAGTTTAATTTGACAGAAATGTACAACATTGGCTATGAAGCATGACAGGATCTTAATATGTGTACTAGGCAAGGTGACTATATTAATATACAATACTGCACATAATCTAAATCCTTTGTTGTTGTCAGGCATTTTCCACTTAATCATCTTCTTTTACAAAAATAAGACGTTTACTCACGTTCTGATATTCTCTTGATACTGTGCACTATCTGACGGCTGGTTGTACATTGGCTAGAAGAAATAAAATTTGTTTAACTTTAGTTTTTAGTACTATGAGACATATTCTTTCAAAAATTAGTCAATATGAAAGATTCTAAATTTATTGGGGAGAAAATTATCAGCCCCTGACAGTGTTCAAACATGTATAGTGCGGTTCTGAAATTGGTTGAGTAGTTCTAAAAATATCTCATTTGCTCTATTAGAAGCACATCACCAATAAAGCATACTCAAAAATTACATTTATTGTATAGTGAACCATTATATTATGGCCAAAAAGGCATATTTTATTGGTACAGTGCATCACACCTCTGCTGCTTACATAAAGCACTGACAGAGCAAAAGCAAAATTATTCAAATTTTTTTCATCTTAGAAAATAGACTTACAAACTCAATCTTAGGCCCAAGGTGAGCAAGCATATTATGGGCTTCTTCTGCTTTCCTCTGTAACAACAAAAATAAAAATATTTTGTTAATACTTGAGGACTCAACTTAAAACTTACCCATGATATTTTATTCATTGATACATTACTGGGAGAACCTGTCAGAATTCATGTGTGTATTCACAGTAGAGAATGGATGTACGAGAAGGGAAGGAGCTTGTCATCACACTGGTCATTTGAAGAGCAATAAAACATGTATGTACATCCATAAAGTGGAATTGATCAATTTTAAGACTAAAAATTGAAAGACTAAATGTAAATCAACTGATTGTCAAGAATGGCCAAGCGAATCGATATGCAAATGTGTAGTCGGCACAGAATTCTGTATTTGTATCCATACATCTCCATAACCTCATCATAACGCCATAAGTTACAGCATGCCATAATTTTGCGGTATTTTACAGGGTATTTTCATCCTATCATATAAGGAAATGCGCATTCCAAAT